ACGTTCTCTGGTCATGCAGATGAGCTGGCAACCCTTGTGACCGTCGAGCTTGCAGAATGTATTCCCAGGTATCTTCGAAAGTCCACTCCCGCCGAGAGGCTCGCGAGGACCTCGCACGACTGTAAGGTCCTGAGTTCTCCCGCCACGGAGGTCCTTGAGCTTCACCAGGGAGAACTTGGGCTTGTTGAAGGAGCTCCGTAAGACGAACCAAGACGAGGTCAGCCACCATCTGCGCAAACTCCACATCCCTCTGCGTCAACATTCCCACTGCATTCTCAGCCATTCCACTGGCCACCGGCTCATTCATTTCAGCTGCCACCACCGTTTCCACGGTGACCACTCCATCCTCCGTACTCGGCATCTCAGGTGCCACCGAGGTCACCGAGGTCGTAGTCAAGGAGTCCGTCGAGGAAGCTGATTGCATTGATGTAGTGGTAGTGGAAGTACCAGGGGCACCAACGATGTCTGCTATAACTTCGTCGGTGTCGTATTCGCCCCAGGGGGTCACAGGTGCCGCCGAGAGCGGAGGAGCCGAAGGTATGACCGGCGTGACTGGCACCCCACGTTCGTCAAACGGTGTTGTCGCCCCGAAGTGCCTCGTTGGGGCTGTAGGAATGTGGCCCACCGGAGGGGGTGGGCGCATGGGCCGATCTGCCACCCCAGGTGATGGATTTGTGGCACGTAGTGGCATATTTGCACGCGGTGGCCCCATACTCCCAGTAGATGTAGCTCCAGTCACACCTGTTGTATTCGGCGTCATAGGAGCCCGCATCAGTGACGATCTAACAGACATCCCCGAAGATGCTCCGCCATGTATCATTCCAACTTGGGCATCCCCACCAGGCAGAGTTGTCAAGCTCGACCCCAATGAAGTCATCCCATGGCCAGAGAAGAATTCAGCAGGCGGAGCTTGGAAGCGAGGGCGAGGCATCACTGGTACAGGTGGTCTTACCTCCCACGAGGAGCTCGCTCTTTCCGAAGGCGTCGGCATGGGGCTCCTCGACCTTGTCACTGCCCGACCCGGGACACGCACGCCCAGGTTTGGCGGAGGTCCAGGAAGTCTCGGCCTTGCCTGACGTCGCCATTCTTCCCCAAGTGCGATGAGCTCATTGGTCCGCCGTATCCTCTCTTCTTCAGCTCGTCGTTGTTCAAGAACCACGGACTCCTCCTCGTGAGCAAGTTCCAGGGCAGCACGCGCCAAGATCCATACATGCCCTTCAAACCCTCCAGACCACTCCAGGAGCCGAGCATATTCATCTGCATTGCGAGGAGGAGCCGTGCGAGGTTCATTCGCTGGTGGATATATGGAGTGCAGCAATGAATTGCGATATCGCCCCAAGGCCTCGCTCATAAACTGGACCGCCCTCGCATGTCGGTGGATGGCCCATCGAGCTTGGGGGCCAATTCCCATGCGTTGACGCCCCATCAGTTCATGAAGAACGTCTTCCACCACTTCTCGCACATAGTCCTGGATAGGGTCCTCCCTTGGGGGCAGGTAGGCAGTGTCCACGAACGGGTCGTCCACTGCCGGTACCAGTTCCATGACGTCAACCTCCTCCGTGCGTCCATGGGCAAGTTGCAGGAGATAAGTCGTGTTCTCCACCGGGTCGACCACTAAGTCACTGAGCACCCCAGTATGGTGTAACCGGTCATCACAAGGTTGTGGCGGTAGGTTCACCCCAGAGCTCGTAGTACTGGTAGTCGAAGTGGCCGGCGGCAGCTGAACAAACATCACCCCTTCATAGTCAAGTGTCCCCCAGGGGGCAGGGTGCCCACCCATTTGCCGGTGAGTAGGGACCATCAAGGCCTCCATGATCGTTTCATTCACCACATTCACGGTGACGGCGCTGCTTATCATGTTGAGATTCACGTCGTCGGCGATGTATACTCCGGCAAGGCAGAGCAAGAGTAGCCCTCCGCAAAGGAAGGCAGCCATGGATGGTTATCAAGATATATAGAAAGCGATGACCCAAGGATCGCTGGCTCAGGGTTTTGAGCATCAAGCTGTGACATCGACACTGAACTTCCATAAGCACACGGCACCACACTCAGCAAGGGTATGCTTCACTAGAGGTATCCAGGTAGAGTTTCAGGAAGTCTTTCTGGTTTACTCCCACTGTGCATCATCCGCCAACATCGGTTGACGAAGTCGCGACCAAGGAAGATCAGAAGAATCGAGCCAAAGCTGTTGCATCCCTGCCCATTCGTCCCTATTTTGTGTGAGTCTGAGCCATTCGACCCCCAGGCATGTGGCGATCTCTCTCTCCAAATTGGAAGGGTAGAACTGATGCGGATGTCTGATCCCCCCAGCTCTCTTCGTTATCTTTTGTTGATCTCTCCACCACCCCAAACTCCTCCATCGCAAGAAGGTCGCGGCCAAACCCGGAGCTGGCAGGACCCCCCTACCGTCATCCTCACTTTGTCTCCCCCAATGTCCACATATGTTGAATTGAAGGCGTCGGACTTTGGTGCTCCATCTGTCAATCCCTTGTCCATGCATCCAAGCCCTGAGATCGCGGAGGGACCTCTTGTTCCATTGCATCCAGTCTTCATCTTTTCTCCGTTTAATGTGAAAGGCATCCCTAAGGACATGAAGTTGAAGTGTGTTCAGGGCTCCCAAATCAGACCCATTCCAGTAAAGCGCTCCAGCGATCCAGGTGAACGATCCCTCCAGCAGCATCTTGATCGCATAGATCTTGTTCTTCCATCCACCCTTACCCCTGAGCAAAGTCCGATGTTCAGCGAAGGCGGCACGGACCCTCCCAATGAGTTCCTTCGCTTGGCTAGTTTGGTGAAAGATAAACTTCAGCCCTAGAACTTGTATCGGTTGTTCCGGTGGTTGCACTGTAACCTTCATCCCTGCAACTTCAACCTCTCGAGGCCCAACGTATTCAGGAGTGGCAATGATCGCCGTTTTCTTTGGTGCCAATCGTAGGCCCAGGTGTCCCAGAAACTCGCTAAGCAGGCACAGTTTAATCTCGAGATTCTTTGCGGTCGATTCCCAGAGAAAGAGATCATCCTGATACATGAGCAGGTCAACCCTCAGATCCTCAATGGGGAACCCCAACTTTCTCCACCGTCAATGTGTCTTCCAGCACAAGTGCAAAAAGTTCTGCCGACTCTGGCGCACCCTGTCGAATCCCCGTCGTGCACTTGACTTGTATCCTGTTGGCCCCAGGGACTTGTCCCTCCAATGTGTTTGTGTGTAGCTGTTCGACGAGGAAGCGCAGTTCCCGTCCCACTCCACAGTGCGCAAGCTTACGACAAAGGTAGTCAACGACTGAGACCCGGTTAAGCGAGTCAAAGGCTCCCTGGATATCAAGTTTGGCTACAAGTAACGGCAGACGCCATTCTTTACTGACATCGCGTAGCCGTGTGAAGCAACCAACCAAGTCTGCTGCTTGTCGCTTCTTCCCACAACAGGAGATCTCACTGGGTCCCCGGAGATGTGGGAATGTCCTTTCCATGGTGAGTTTGGAGACCAATTTCTGTAGAGCCGATGACATAGCTATGGGTCGAACATCCCCCGGTTCAGCTGGGATGTCAACTTTTGGCAGCAGAGCGAGTAGTGATGTCTCCCACTTGTGAGGTAGTAGACCGGTATCGACAATGTGATTGATGATCGCTAGAAGATCCGGAGCGAGCTCATCATCATCCGCAATGGCACGTAAAAGACTCACCCCAATGAGATCGACTCCAACAGATGCTTTCGGTTTCATCCTCCCAAGGGCAGTTTTCAGATCATCGATAGAAAAAGGTATCCATTCGGGCTCAATGAGGAGCTGAGACACGCGATCCCGAAGTTGTACATCCCATTCCTCAGCAGTAGGTCCCTGTAGTTTCGCTTCAAGGTGACCCTGGACAAGTTGTGTAAGTTCTTCCTCATTCCTGGTCTCCAGCATTTTGCCCCACCATCCTCTCTTCCTCGATCGCTGCTGTTTCCGCGCTCTGTACGCAGTCCAGTCACCCTGAAGGATGCGTTGGATGCGCTCTTGCTCCCATGTCTTTCTGGCTTGTTTGCGTAGGTAATGTACTTCCCGCCAATGGTGTTTGTCTTTGTATTGTTTTGCACGATCAATAGCCTCCAGTACCTCCGGTGGGTCCGTGTACCTCATCCCCTTCAGCGGCTTGGTATGTTCACGTGCAAGCTGTTCAACATCCTCAACGTCAACGAGCGGTTGATGCGGAAGTTGGCCAATCACAAATCTGGGTCTGGAGTCAGTACTCCATCTGACTGGTTTGCATTTCAGAAACATATTGTTCAGAAGTAATGCATGATCTGTCCCAATCCGATGCCTGGCCTCAGCATCAACGGTCGTCGAACTGAGAGCCACGTGCCTAGACCAGACCATATCAATATGATTGCCTTCCTTGGTGGTATCTCTGGGGAAGTGTGTCGGCATCCCTTGGCTTTCAGGTTTGGGAAGTACCGGCGACCATCCCACCATACTAGCCCCATCAGCGAAAAAGTTGAGATTGGCTAACCCCGCAAGCAGGTCACCTGTAGCTCCCCATTTGATCGTCTCATTAAGGTCTGTACCAACGATACAGGGATATTGCCGCCATGCTGAGTCAGTGCATTTGAGAAAAGAGTCTGCTGCTCGCTGATAGACTGCGTTCGTTGCCCCCGTGTGGCAGTGAATGCTGCCAAGTAGAACTCGCCCTCGACCCTTCAACTTCACCAGTGCTACGATACCACGGCTCGTATATTTCTTCCCAATCACCGAATCAAAGATGTCAAGGGAGATGCCAATCGCGGTTCCTCTCCACTGTTTGGTCTCACGATGGCTAAGCCAAAAGTGTGTGTCTGTTTCCCTCTCTGACCATCCCTCCGTCTGCCTCGCTACCTCTTGTAGCAAGAAGATATCCGTGCAAGGTGCAGCCGCAGCAACTTTATCCACAGCCTGTCCGCCCAAATTCCAGGTAGCAACCTGTAACATAGTTTTCACCCCTTGGGGGTTCGTTGTTACAGTCTCGGTGAAACCCTCGTCCATTCTTTGTCACTGCTCATGCTGGAAGGCCTCGTGAGCCTCCGACCAGTCACACCCGGTCACTGCAACAACTGCACGGATGTCAACCCATCCAAGCTTGAGGGCCTGGTAATCGTCATTGCGGGAAATGTCTTTACGGTGACTGGCGCTGGCCAGTTTGTGTGTTCCACTCCAGACAGTCCCTGTAGACCAGTCAACATCATACCCCGCGACGGTCGTCGCATCCTCGTTGTAGTAGGCACCTTCTTTGGTTTTGACCCCAGCAGCAAGTCGCATGGCCACTCTCCTCGTCATGGAGCACATCGCCGACTTCTTCCGGGCCTCTGGCGTCTTTAAGAAGGAGGCCCACATCGGTCGACCTTCATCTCCAAGCCCAGTAGTGCTACTGAGAGTCTGCTTATTCTGCCTCACATGATTGACCACTTCCCACATTCGAGCTTTCACCCCCGCTGCGGTTTCACCGTCCCTGATCTTGAACCGCAAGATGCCGAAGCTCTTCCGTGGTCCAAAGACGACAACTCGGTTGGTGTCCACGAAGTTCGCCAGGGCAGGCATGTCAAGGATCTGCTGCGCCTCGGACTCGATGATAGAGCGCTTGGTATCCGCAAGCCATCCCCCCAAGATCAAGGATCGCTGGTCTTCTTCACTCAAGGATTTCCGTTCTTCCCCCCCTTCACTTCGACCTGGTTGCCCTTCTTTCCGACGTGCCAAGTACTCTCCCCAGGGATCACTCCCATCGCCAGTTGCCTGGTTCTTGATTCCGAGCTCTTCGATCTTGGAGGTCAACCCTTCTAGCTTCGTCTCCAGGTCCTCAGCCTTTCTAGCTGTCGCGTCCCCCTTAGCTTTCACTGCAGTCATCTGTTGATCGAGGACTTTGGTTTTACCATGGACCACCTTGAGTTCTTTCTTGTGTCCCTGAGTCACCTTTTCCACCGCAGTGACCCTGTCCTGGATGTCTCCCCAGGCCATCTTGATCTCTCGGAGATGTTCACCCAGAAGGCTACGTAGTTCGGCTGCAGTCACTGCTGCCTCCGTTACAGACCCTGAACTCCGCTTCGTTGGACTGTCTTCCCCATCCGTGGATGCCCTCCGCTTCCGCTTGGATGCAACCTCACCAGTCCCTGCACCCACCGCTGCATCGTCTTGTTCGTGGTCTGAGAGGTCAAGTTCAAGCTCATCGCCAGATCCCACGATATCGGTTGGGGAATGTGTGGGAGAGACCTCAATCGCCACTTCCTCCCCGTTCATTGCAACCCCAAATCACTATGACCTTCCAGCTGTTTAAGGGCACTTGAGCCGTAGCCAGGGTTTAGGGTTTAGGGTTCAGGGTTTAGGGTTGGGGTTTGGTGCTGTGGGAGTTTTTGCTTCTGGGAGCCCATGCATTTTCACTACTGCTGGCATATTCGGAGTTTAGGATGTGGTGCTCAGGGGTTTGGAGGAGTTTCCGGTGCCAATTCACGCAAGAGCTACCTCGTGAATCCCCCAAAACCAGAATCCTGAGCCCAAGAAGCCCGCCCAAAACCGAAACACTTAAAATAAAAAAAAAACCTACGCAACCCTCATAACATCGAATAAAACCCTAACATACACCCCTATAAGACCCTGTAGACTCAATCCCAGCTTCGACTTCTCTCGCATCCGTGCCGTTCTCTTCAACGATCTGCGGATCGCTGACATCGTCGAGGTTCTTGCTCTCGGTCACCTGCTTACATAAAACTGGATGTTCCTGTTAAGTGTTTAGGGTTTTGGGGGTTCCTTGTCAGGGCGGGAAAAAATCAAAGGTACCCCTTCCATCTACGTGAAGGTTGGATTCGATGGCTGGCATTGCATCACCCTTCGTGAGACCAACAAGGCGCACTCCTAAACCCTAAACCCTAAACCCTAAACCCTAAACCCCTAAACCCTAAACCCTAAACCCTAAACCCTAAACCCTAAACCCTAAACCCTAAACCCTAAACCCTAAACCCTAAACCCTACCTATTCTTAGACCCAGAACCCCAAAGCCTCAGAAGGGATGGAAGGCCTTGTATGACTCCTCGTGGGACTATCGCAACAAGGACTAATGCAGGGCCCGGTACTCACTTCCGACGATAAAAAAAAAAACCCAAAACCCCAGTCCACTTCTGAAGGCCACCGTACTAAACTCTTACACTGTCCCCTATAGTAACCCTTCTAGCCCGTTTACCTGGAAGCCTTCTTTGAAACCCGAACTCCCAAACCCCTAAATCCCCAAACCCTAAACTTTAACCTCCTCACAGCCCAGACCCTTAGAGGATCTAGAAGATCCCCCTAATTTGGGGCCCTATCCTATTAAGGGTACCTTCTAGGAAGCCCCATTAAGGGATCTACTTTTTGGGATCCCTGGGAGACTAGCGGCCTCTAACTCGAAAGGCGGGAAGATCCGGAACAAGTTGGCGACGCTGATCCTGACGCACTCAAAGGCTGTACTTGGAGGTTTCATGGGTAGTTAGAAGTAGGGTTATAAGTAAGGTATGCATAATTATAACCCATATTAGGGGACTTATAACCCCACTTATAACTACCCATGAACCTCCAAGTAGGGATCGTAGTGAGCAGGCGTAAAAGCAACCAAGTCGTGGGCATAATTACGAACTAATACAAGGGGCCGTGAAAATTAGAATTGAGCTTTGGGATATTATACTATGCTTATGAAGAAGGACCCCGAGCTAGTAGTGGTAAGCTTTTGAAGTTGGGCAATTCAGAATTTGCGGGGGATGGGGGCTTGGGATGTAGGAATTCGAGGCTGGTCCTGTTCACATCGGCTCGCGGCCCGAAGCGCTGAGTGGTCAACACAGCTGCACCCAAACAGCACCAGCCTACGACACTACCACTCCATTTATCAGGCCCATCCAACTAAAGTGGTGGTATCATGGCCAAACATCTGGACAAGGACGCATCGGGAAGGATGTCATCCGACAACGACTTGAATACGTAATCAGAACAGGGTTTAGGGATATATCAGACTACTAGAAGGGCCCTAATATTTAGAGTAGGGTTTTGGGGTATAGTACACTAAAATTACAAGAAGGAACCCCACAGTAGTATTGGTAATTTTTTTGGCCTCTATACCCTTAAAGGGAGCCCTATCCTGTGACTAGTTAGGCCTCTTTCTTACCTCACCGGCCCAAATTTTCAAGAAGACAGCGCGGAAATACAAACCAAGCGCCCAACACGAGGAGCATCTCGAAAATTCCCTTAAAAATTAGGGGTACCTTAAGGTTCCTAAAAAGGGTTACTATAAGGGTACCACGGAAAGGGATCTATAAGGGTTAGAGTTTCCGAAAATTAGGGGTCCCTTATTTTGGGGGTCCTTATAAACCGGATCCTACTATTTAAGGTACTACATTAGGGTCCCCCTGTTTAAGAAAAACCGAGGGGCTCGGTCGTTCTCACTACTCGGTCCGTGGATAATGTGCCAAACACACACAAAGGAATAGGCGTAAGAGAAAAGATGCCAAGCTGGCAGAGCAGAGAAGTAAACACCATCCTGGAAATCTTGTGAATCCGTCAACCGAAACCTTTGAACCTGAAGTCACAAGTCCTAAACTCTACAACGACTTCCCCAAACCAAGAACCCTGAAATATGCAACCTCCCTTTTTTGTGTGCTCCTGAGCTGATCCAAGCCGACATTCTCCGGCATATCGTCTCGATCCTTCGGTTAGGCTGCAGCCCAACTTTATCAAATCCTTATAGTAGCCCTTACAGTAGCCCTTATAATAGCCCTTACAGTAGCCCGTATAGACCTCTTTAAAGGGAACCCTATTCCAACCATAAAGGCCCCTATGTTAAAGTGTTAGAGTTAAGGATTTCGGAGCCCAGGTCCCAGCGAATAGGCTTAGGAGCCTGCTTGGAGGATCATGGGACTTAGTAAGTAAGGTTATAAGTACCTTAACTGGGGTTATAAGTATAATTACCCTAATTATAACCATAGTTACTAAGTCCCATGGTCCTTTAAGTACATCTTTCGGTTTGGAGGGAAAGGTTTACGGCTTCATGTAGTTTACAAAGAAGGCTCTTGATCTCTTGCATTGCTTGGCAAGTTTGCATGCTTGGGATTGATTCTTCAAATTCTGGCATATTTTGTGCGGAAATGCACACATTCTTGATGGTTTGGCTTTTCGACAAACAAGGTAGTGCTCCTGAAAGTGTGAGCCACCAGAGCTGTCGCCTCTACAATGCAGCTGTAGAGTCTTTGGCTTGTGCTCATGTGCAGGAGTCGAATTCTACAAGAAAGAGCCCAAGGGATCGAAAGGAGCTGCTAGTATGGGGGCCTGGATAATTAGAAAAGGGGTTGGGGGGTATATTGTACCATAATTCTAATAAGGAACCCCCAAAATAGTACTGGTACTTATTTAGGTCCCTATATTAGTGTGACCGCGTTGGGCCGTACCAAGGTTGAAAGGAGTGTGACAACCTAAGGGTGTTTTGGGGGTTTCCGACGGGTAAATTTGGAGCCAATGGAGTCTGAGGCACGTAGGATTGCGTCTCTCCGATACACTTGCAAGACTTCTGTGACCACAGCTTGGGGTCGTTGGAAGAATCTAAACGGGTGTAACGACCCCAGGGTTGGGAGGAGGATTTGGAGCCGATGGAGTTTGACGTACCAGAGGCTGCTTTGCAGTGAGGACACATTCGCGGGTAAATCATCATCTGAGACAAAACCGTCGAACGGACGAAGCAGAACAAAAGAGACTAATCAAAACCCCAAACGCCAATCGTGAAAACCCCAACCGCCAATCTCCAAAAGCCCTGAGACAAAACTACCCCGAACCTATAAAATCCCATAAAATCCTATAAGACCCTGAAAAAAATCCCATACATTCCCAGAGAATCCTATACCCTCCCATAAAATCCCGTAAAAAAGTCCTGTAAAATCTCATCCAAAGCCTCATGAGCCACAAGTCGGCGGCTCCTCGGGGTCTACGGGCGCCACGTCGGGGCTCCAGACCGTGTCGTTCCCCATCTTCGGTGGGAAGCTTCAGGGTTTTCTTTTTAAGCACCGGGTTTAGGGGTTAGGGTTTGGGGGTTTAGGGGTTTAGGGGTTTAGGGTTTGGGGGTTTAGGGGTTTAGGGTTTAGGGATATATAGGGGTTTAGGGGTTTAGGGGTTAGGGTTTTAGGGGTTAGGGGTTTAGGGTTTCAGGACTTCGGCTTTCTGGGGGGCTTTCGGATATAGGGTTCCTGTAAGGGCTGTATAGGGTTCTATGTGGGTTGTATGGACTTTAGGGATTCGAAGTTAGCGCTCCGTACTTGGAGGTTCATGGGTAGTTATAAAGTAGGGGTATAGTTAGGGTAACCACAGCTATCCCCCATCTTACGGGGCCTGTAACCCCCACTTCTAACTACACATGAACCTCCAAGAAGAGTCTTTGAAGGGACCTATATTTTTAGAGTTTTCTGAAGGGGGTCTTATTCTTGTACGGCTAATAGGGTTTATCTTGGGTTCCCAAGCAGGGGAGAATCGTGCTGTATTTCGGAAGGTCCGATCATGTACATAGAGTCGACTCCAACTCCGAAAGATGCGCTTCGGTGGCATGCCTCACAGATTTTTTTCCACCCACGAGCTTCTTTTCGTGCTCGCGAATGGATGGTTGTGACGTGTATCACCAAACCGCACATGAATGGTCACCTCATATCTAACAAAATTATTTAGGGCGTGCATTTGTGCTCTGTAGGATTTATGAAGCCTGTACGTCGTCTACGCGGGTTTAGGGTTTAGGGCCGGGCTTGGGTTCCTGAGACGTCCTTGAGGGCTCTACTTGGAGGATCATGGGACTTAGTAAGTAAGGTTATAAGTACCTTAATTGGGGTTATAAGTATAATTACCCTAATTAAAACCATAGTTACTAAGTCCCATGGTCCTTTAAGTAAGGCGTTATGAACCCTACAAAAACTTAGAAAGCCCCTTACAGCCCTGTGAAGCCCTATGAAACCTATGAAACCTATGAGACCTACAAAACCCTGTGAAAGGCTCGAGATCCCAAAATGCTGATTTCTGGGCACTGATTGCCGTTTCGGACTTTGGGAGTGTGGGGATGGAGCTTTGGAGGTTTGAGGTTTAGGATGTCGGGTTCGGGGGTTAAGGCGTGAATGTTTACGGTTTAAAGGTTGGACAAAATGGGCGAAGGCCAGACCTCAGGCAGGGCCACTCCCGATACCCTAGAGCTGCACCAAAGACCTAAACCAAACCCATACCTCCGGACCCAGCCACGAGCCTGATCTTTGTCCCAACCGGACCCCCCGAACCTCCGACCGCAATGCATGAACCGTACTTGGAGGATCATGGGACTTAGTAAGTAAGGTTATAAGTACCCTAAATGGGGTTATAAGTATAGTTACCCTAATTATAACCTTAGTACTTTAAGTAGCCCCTGGGACCTCGTAGTCCGAATACCCCGAAAACCCCCTAAACCCTAAACCCCAAAACCTCGCAAAGGTCCAACATGTGTTCAGCCAAGGGGGCACCATAAACAACGAATGGCCGCTGGGGTTGATCGATCAGGGAACAGAGAAGGTACCCCAAAATTCGGTGAGGCAAAACCCCAGAGACAGCAAAAAAAACATTGCAATTATTATTATTATTATTATTATTATTATTATTATTATTATTATTATTATTATTATTACTATTATTATTATTATTAGTAGTAGTAGTAGTAGTAGTAGTAGTATTCTTACTATACACATGGTTTACACATGTTGCTGGTGGCAACAGCTCTGCGCTCCGCGGGCCTCCACAGTGACCTTCACGGCTGTGGAGTGCTCGAACTTGTTGGTGCCGTCCTGCATTGGCGACACTTCTACTTCAAAAGTTTAGGGTTTAGGGTTTAGGGGTTTAGGGTTTAGGGTTTAGGGTTTCATGTAAACCTGGGGGCATTGAAGCGCTTTGCCTTAAATACTTCCAAAGTTCATGCAACCTCGGGGCGTTGAAGTCCCTTGCAATAAAAAGGATTGTTATAAGGTTCCTTGGACACCTCTAAGCACGTAGGCTTCAAGAGCTGATGTTTACGTGGCTGGATGGTCCTGAAAACTCACCTGCATAAATTACGGGTTCAGTTTAGGGTGTAGCACTTGGGTCTGGGTGTTGAGAGTGGGTCCAAGGATTGGGGGTCGGATCAGAGGGTAAGGTTGCAAAGGATCAGGGGGCTCGGCAAGAGCAAGTAGCGTTACAAGCGAGGCAACTACAGCTGTAATTGCTGGAACCCCGAATTAAGCCCGAAGGTGCTAGTACTCATATTCTGACTCTACTTACTATGTCTCCTGATCCTTTAACTAGAAAACTTTCATGAAGAACCACAGTTGCAAACTCCTGGAGCCGGGTTAGGGGATCTCTGGGCCCTTGGGGTTCAGGGCTTAGGCCAAAAAGAGTTTCCAAAACAGGGGGTACCTTATTTTGGGTCCTTATAATACAGATCCTACTATTTAGGGTACCATATTAGGGTCCCCTATTTTCGGAAACTCCCATATCAGGGTTTAGGATTTATGGCTTATGGCTTATCGTTTAGGGCTTAGGATCTATGGCTTATGGTTCAAGATGCAGGTTTAGGACTTATGGCGTATGGTTCACGGTGTAGGTTTCGGATCTAGGCTTCGCTGTGGCATCACGCGTGGGCGACAGCGTCTTGCGACAAGGCTGTGTCGAGTGCATCCTGCTGTGGCGATGAGCTGTGAAGGCCTGTCTATAAAAGGCTTTCCCTTCTTTGTCTCCCACCCCACCCCTAAATCCTAAACCCCTAAACCCCTAAACCCTAAACGCTAAACCCCTAAACCCTAAACCATAAACCCTACAGCCCCCAAACCGCAATCGGATAGGGTTAGGGTTTCGGCTGTAGGGTTTAGGGTTTAGGGTTTTTCTCATGGGCTTTAAGGTTTAGGGTGTAGGGCTTAAGGCTTTAGGACGTAGGGTTTAGGGCTTTAGGGTTTTAGGGTTAAAGGAAGTCGGATCTCGAAGTCTTTCAGCTGAGCTGTGAGACCATTACGCCATAACACTGTCGGATCCTGTGAACAATCTAATATAGGGGCCTTCATAATTAGAATAGGCTTTTGGGCCCATCATACTATACTTATATAACAAGGAACCCCCAAAAACATTATGAGTAATTAAGGACTCATCCGCTCTTTTTGCACCCCGTCTGAAGGTACACACGTTTGTGGCGGCTTTGCCGCAGTGCTGAGCAAGGGCCGTGGGAGCGGCGGGCGGGCTGAAGCTTGAGCGGGCAACATCACGACATTCGTCCTTATGCTTCAAGGACTCATCCGCTTTTGCACCCCGTCTGAAGGTACACACGTTTGTGGCGGCTTTGCCGCAGTGCTGAGCTCACCCATCCTCAGAAGCATGGAAATTAAAGAAATCCCGCCCACTCAAGCATGATACAGGCCTTGCTTCAGCATAGAAAGGCGCTGGGCCGGCTGAATCTTCAGTCGGTCGCACCACTGGACAAACGAAAAAGCTTCGGAGAAGCCGTTGGCCCAGTCAAAAACGTTGCTCCTAATTTCTCGGGAGAGGCGTGGAAGGTACATGAGCGATGAGACCTCCTGGATGTATATCTCCATCACCTTCGTAGTGATCCATCTCCCACGACGTCGTACGAAATCCGGGGATTCCGTAGTGAGCATCAACCAGGTGGCACCCCCTGCCCTAAGGCTAGCCAGGTCGAAACTCTTCATGGCAGGCACTGAGTCGTCGCCTATCCCAACAGCCTGCAGCAATTTCTTGAAACGAGCTCGCAAAGTCGACCCGGAGCGGGGCCAAAGCTTGCCGTCCGGAGCCAGTCCAGAAAAAGCGAAGATCACAACGTCGACGAGCTGAGGTTGGTCGACTTTAAGACACTGATGCCTAGCCGCTCTGTACCTCGTTTTTGGCTCGAGAATGGAGAGGAGGACCTGCCGCGCTCCCCAGCCACATTCTCTTCCCACGTCATCTGGCAGAACCAGTTCGGATCGGCGGGCATCCATGGCCTCGCCGACCCGAGCTAGCCCGCCCCAGCAGAGGGCCAGAACCCCAGCAACGTCGTCCCATCCCCACAGAAGAGAGACCGTAAGCAGGGCCAGGAGCAGCTGCCAAGGTAGAGCCGTGTGATGAGTGGGAGGCTCCTGCCGCTGCCAGGCGAAAGCAATATCCCAGGCAGCCTGAACTTGGCGGCGAGCTCCTGGGCACTCTACTGTGAAGGCATTCAGCGTCTCGACGTAGTGGTAGTAGGGCCGGCCTTCTTCATACAGCCACTGACCATACCATATAAAAACCTCGTTCACAGCTTCAATATCGAAGCGAGCCAGGCTAATCAAGCCCTTCCAGGTTCGGCTTCTACTTTGAAGCCACTCAGAGAAGAGGGAGACGAGCTTGTCCCGACGGTTCTTCGTCGTTGGCAGTGTCGGCCGACCCCGCTCGAGAAAAGAACCTTGTCTGGCCTCCTTCCTCTTTCCAGCAGCTTTCTTGGCCTGCGCAGTCTCCATGGCGTAGGCAGAAGGGAGGCTACCGGAAAACACCCAAAAGACCTGAAGCCTGCCTAAGAGGCCTAAGGTCGAGAGGGGCCCAGTACCTAGGGAAAGGAGGAGAACGACGGAAGTCCAAAGGACCGCAGGCGCAGGGCCTTCTCCAGGGTAGCCAAGAGTGGCGTCAAAGTCGAGGCCGGTGAAGGCACGGAAAGGGAGCGAGGCAAAGCGGTTTTCAGAAGGCAGCAGAGGGACGTCGGCCGAGGAAGGGGCGACGGCAAAAACCAGCCTAACCCAGTTGGCGGCCCACCTTTTGAGACGAGGCCGTTTGGCATCCTGGAGGAGGCGCTCTGAAGTCCAGAAGTCCGGCCCAAGGGAACACACAGGGGGATCAAGGGGACGATCCCTAGTGGGCCCATCAGCAGGGATCCATCTGGTGGGGCAGAAAAGGCCTCCAGGGTAAAGTCCACTGGCGAGGCAGACAGCAGATGTCCGACGCGTGGCATGGCGAAGTCCAGGAGAGGGGCTCCTGCCCTTAATCACAGCACACCTGGCGACTTGCGAATCACACAGCACAGGAAAGCGGCAGGGCCCCTCTTGCACAGCAACCTGTATGAACAGTCTCCCCAGGCCAGACGCTTCGAGGATGTTGATGTGGACCTGCCCCTTCCATGCCCAGACCTGGTCGGTGGACCAATCGAGCGCAAGAGCAAGGTCGGAGGGGGCAACCCTCTCAAGGCCGGAGACATCAAGGTCCCTCTCCTTTAGCACGGCGGCTCGGTGGCGCAGTTCTTGGGAGAGGCAAGCAGCAAGGGCCCTAGCAAAAGCAACGTAATGGGCTCCGGTGGGCCGGGCAGAGCGCCCTTTCACAGCTCGATGCTTGCACTGGCAAGAGCATTCAAGGGCAACGGGCTTGAGGTCACACAGGACAGAGAGAAAACGCAGGCGCTTAAGGTAAGGGCTCCCGAAAGCGCAGGAAGACGCTCGAACCTCCTCAACACCCTGCCTTTTGGCAAACCTTCTCAGGATGGACGAGTCCCAGAAGGGCGACTTTGCAGGCAGCTCAAGCACAGCTGGCACGTCGGCTGCGAGGCACTTCGCAAGGACGGCAAGAGCCCCACCTATCGCCTTTAGAGCAGCTTGGCTCTCAAAAGACGAGGGCGGCAGGCCCGCAAGAGGAGCGAGGTAAAGGCACCGAAGACGGTCTTGCTCGACGAGGAAAAGCAGCCACTCCAGGAACCGAGGCTCTCGCAGGCAGTAGTGAGGAGAGGCGCCGGGGTCTAGGAGGGGGCCACATGCCCAGCCTAGGTCTCTCATCTCAACCAGCAAGGGCAAAGGGAAACGGCCATAAGCAGCAAAGTCGAAAACAAACAAAGCGGCCTGCTGGGGGAGAGGGGCTCAACGTGTTCAAGGTCCTCCTCCCACATCGGGTCAGCCCTCTTCAACAAAGCTTGCGCAGGGGAGCACACACGGGCGTAACCTCCTTTTCGATCAGCGGTGCCCCAGAGCGACTCACGAAGATGGGCCGGCAGAGGGGCCGAGCACACAGCGCCTTTCCGCTCAGAGGCGTCAGTCGCAAAGATGCGCCCACAGTAAGGCACGCCAATGTCAGCAACGGCAAGGAGGGGGGGCAGAGCAACGGCAAGAAGAAAATCCTGGCACACACTCCTAGGCATTTGGACGATGCGAGGGCGCTGGGGATCCAACAGAGCGGTAGGAGCGAGCCCAAAGGCAGCGTCGAAAACCGAGAACATGGGCCGCCGGTATGTGAAAACTGACACCCAGCTGCCGAGCAAACAAGCGTGGAGGGCATCGGTTGTGGCAGGCAATTGGCACAAGTCAAGTGTCAAACTGGCCAGGGCAAAGCGCTTGCTCCGTGGCGAGGCAACCAAGCAAACCCCACGCCTCAGCGTCTTGGGGCGCGAGTCAACTTCAGCACCGGGGTCTTGGAGAGAAGTCTCTGGGATGAGCACAGTAGCCCATGGGCCTGAAGGAGGCGGCTGTGACTGTCAGTGGCTACTTCTACCCCCAAGTGGTCACCTTGCAGGACCGAGGCAAAGCAAGCTTGCACCTGTTGAGGCCGCCTGGTCGCGGCTTTTCCTGACGGAGCTCTGCGGCCCTGCCTTTCCAGAAGAGACCCCAGCGCAGAATCAGCAGCAAAAGTCTCAGAAGGGAAACAAGGCCACAACCGGTTTCGGCTCGCCCGTTCAGGGGTGATCTTCAATTGATGATAAAAATCCCTGCGATCCGTAGCGCAGAGCACGAGGCCGTGCGATCGAGGGGAAACCGTCAAAGAAGTGAGGACCTCCCCCGCTGGTAGCCAGGAGGAAGGGCCCTTCACCCGTGCCTCGCAAGCGTTGGGCCCACGACGATCTCCGATTTGCCGCTGGCGGCCCGAGCTTTTCCGGGCGCAGAAAATCCGCGTGTATTCGAAAGGCTTCAGCCCAGGATCGTAGGGCTCAAGGTGCAGCAGTCCTAGCGAGGACCAGAGGCGGGCGAGCTTCAACATATCCTCCTTGTTTTCGAGAGAACAGTCAGGGTAGCTTCCAGCAGCCGGTGTCCCTCCAAAAAGCAGAGACCTGGGCTCGACAAAAGCCATCCACAATTCGTCCCCAAGGTAAGGGATCGGGTCCCAAGCCCCACGGCCGCTGAGTTGGAGCAGCTCGGGCGTCACAGAGGAGTAGGGCTGAAGGGCTTCGTCGACTGTGTCGGCAGGGACCTCAGGGTCGGCAGGAGGCACCCAGGAGTAGAGATCTCCAACCGGCCCAATTTTGGTGAGTCTAGCAGAGAGCTCACCCAGACGGGCTTGCAGAATATTAATTCGACGGCCTGTGGCAGAAGGGGTGACCGACTCCTGCTCACTACCGAACGTCCTGACCAGAGACCCGAGATAGGCCAAGCAGCGGCTTTGGGCTGCGTTCGGGGGCCTAGCCAAAAGCTCAGGGTCAAAGTAGCGGCAGTCGTGGTAGAGAAAGTTCAAAGCAACGACAGCTATGTGAAGGAGCCTCCCTTCTGCAAGTTGCAACCGCTTCCTCGAGGAGAGGTGCCGGCAGTCACCAAAGACATTGCAGCTAGGGACAGGGAGGGGAAACAGGAGGTCATCCGGCGCGGGAGCACCACGACGGCAGAGGTGCAAAGTCTTAGAAAGCAAGGCCGAGAAAGGCGTGCGTGACTTAAGAAATTTCAAATGCGCACTCAGGGCCCAGGCACGGAAAGAGATTTGCTCATCAACCCTGGCGTCGGGGAGAGCAGAGGCACGGCCTACCTCTAAAGGAGCATGACCGGCAACAGGTTCGGAGATTGGCCTCTCAGCCTCCAAGGAGGGAGCGGCAGCAGCACAGCCTACCTCAACACGAGCATGACCGGCGGCAGGTTTGGAGATTGGCCCCTCAAAGCCACAGGCAAGGGAGGGGGCGATCCGGCTTACCTTCAAAGGGGCAGGGCAGGCCGCATGTTTCAGGATTGGCTTCTCAACCCGGACGGGGAGAACAGGAGCACAGCCTACCTTGTGAGAGACACGGCTGGCACACGCAGGGCGCAGTGAACCCCGACGGCGGGGCGAGGAAGGAGGCCCAACAAAAGGCGAATTCGGAAGAGCCACGTCACTCCGACACCCGACGGCAGGCAAAGGAGGAACACCAAGGCAGCAAACAAGGAGGCTCGACCCCAAGGCAAGGGGAGCCGTTGCACAGCCTACTTCGAGACAGGGCAACAAGTGGCATGCAGGGCGCGCAGGGCCCACAACAGGAGGCCAGGAAAGTTGCCCAACAAAAGGCGAATTCAAAAGCACATTGTCCGGAATAAACTCAGGGTGCAGAGACAAGGGCCCGGCAGTGGCCCGAGACGAGGCGGGAGAGCCAGGTAAAACAGGCCCAAAGGCTGAGCGCCCAGCAGGAAGAGCTAAGTCCAGGCACAAATTAATTCGCGGCAGAGGGGCTGCCCGGCCGGAGTCATCACACAAAGCCGGTCTCAGTTGTCCTTCGGCTTCTTGGGAAAACGAGGTTTCCGGGGCCTGGTCTCGGTCTGCTGCTCCTCCTGGTCGGTCGGCTGGACACGGGCACATAGGCCAACGTCACTGCAGCAAGGTTCGGTGGCACGAGTGGGCTGAAGGCCCTCAGCCGCGCGTTTGTCGACTGAGTTTTGGCCGAGTACATAGAGGGCGCCGGCTCCTCCAACAGTGTAAGGAGGAAGGCCAGATCCCACTTCCCGTTGTCGGCCGTGGCTTGCTCCGCCGACGCCAGTGCTAAGGCCAGGTGTTCCATGGCCATGCGAGGGTCGTCTCGGAGGTACGCGTCGGCCATAGTAGCCAAAAGGAGCATGAAAGTCCCTAGCATCCGCTGCTGGCCGAAACCGCCCTGCCGCTCCAGGTAAGTCACAAAAGAGAGCCGACCCTGGGAACGCATGTCTTCCAGGCTTTCTGGGCAAGGCAGCGCCGGGTAAAGTCGACGGTGAGCACCTGGGCCACCTGGAGGAAGAAGTTCGAAGAGCCTGAGGACAACTCCTGCTGGAGCTTCTCTCTCTTTGCCGAGCCTTTGCCTGCCACTCCCGCGGAGGAACTCCCCAAGTCTAAGGATTCTCCTTGGGCCACCAGGTGGGAAACAAGGAGGGAGAGAGCCTCTCCCTGCTGAGTCAACGCCTTGGCAAGGGATGAGTCGCCTGAGGAAGAGCCTGCGGGGCCGGGACCTGGCGGAGCACCTTGCTGACCACCAGAGCAGCATTGGAAGCCCGAGCCGGCGGAGGCAGAGCTTTGGCCAAAAGACCCAGGGGCTTCGGAGCCTGTGTCGCCCCGGCTGCTGGGAAGGCTTGCTGGTGAACCGGCACCGGAGGAGCCGCGGCCGGAGGGGCAGAAGGAGCAGCCGCCGTTTTCTCGAGGCGGTCCTGACGATCCACCACAGACTTCACCTCGTCGATCAGGCCCGGGAGCAACCCAGCCAGAGCAGTCACTTGCTCGGAGAGCTGGGTAATGGTTACCCGCTTCTTTGCCTGGCCTCTCCTGGCGGCGCCTGCTTTCGGAGCAGCATCGGGGTCTGGAGCCTCTTCCACCGCCGTGTAGAAGGCGAGCCTCTCGGAATTTTCCTCCTCCAGCCACTGCTTGGCTTTTCCCATGATCTCCTCCGGGCGCGGCACAAGTTGAGGCGACCCCTCTATGTAGGAGACTATGTCCTGGTCGGTGACAGGATCGAACAAGGCCATGTGCTCCAGCATGGTGTCGAGAACATCGAGCAGCAAAACCTGGCAAGAGACTCCCGTAGGAAGCTCCTCGCCGGCCTCGTCTTCTTCTATGGTCCCAACCGTATTCAGCTGGCAAGGCCCCATGACATCCAGGGGTTCCTCGGCCAGAGCATCCTCGAGGATTGAGTTCTGCAGAACCGCGGGCAGCGCAAGCATGAAGCCGCCAGGCCTCTGCAGCAAAGGAAGGGCGAAGACCCGGAGGCCCTCTACACCACCCACAGGCAGAGGCCACCGGATCACACATGGAGACCCCGGGGCATCCGATTCGAACTTCAGCTCGGAACGCCGCATCACGACGACAGGGAGGGGAATTCAACCCCGGCAGCGTAACAGTAAACTCTGCCCTCTGCAAGGGACCCAAAAGAGTGAAAGACGGCGTCCGATTCAGACACCTCACCGATAGCCTTTCGAAGGGCAGCAAAGGTTGCGAAGCGGGCAGGAGCAGCCAGCCTCGAGGAAGACAGCACCACGTAGACCACTGGCTTAATAGCCAAAGGAGCAGAAGAAAGCGGAGTGGCCCAGCGGCCCGCAAGAACCTCCGCGGCCCAGCAACCTGCTCTCCAAGCTCTCTTGGCACGATCCTCTCCCGTCGCCACCGAAGAGGTAAGGCGGCCGCACAAGTCCAGGCAATACTGAGGGCAGGGAACAAATCCTGCTTCAGTGGCCGACCGGCTGGTCGGAGGGGAAGGGGCTGCCTTAGGGTAACCACTAAGGGGCCTAGCACTAGCACCCAAAGAACCCGAAGAAGAAGGGCCTTCAGCAGAAGGGCCCGGCACAAGCTCCCACTCAGGAAGGGAAGAGCTGCTCGCACGGCCAGCTCCCACACGCAAAGTAGATATGCGAAGCCTCTCAAGGGCCAGCTGCACCTCAGTGATAGCAGCAGACAAATCGGAGTCCTCACTGGCCATGCACCGAGTACCCACGAAGACGGAGATTCAAGGGCCGTGGCGGCCGAGGAGCAGGAGAGGGCGATTCCAGCCCGGAGTGAGAAGGAGGCACCGCCGAAGGAAGATCTCCCAGGAGAAGGTGACGGAGGAAGAAAACAGCAGTAAGGGCCCCAAGGCTAAAACCGCACACCAAGACAGCCAAAAGAACCACGAGGTTCCCCTGGCAGTGAGCGGGACACGCAAGTCCAAACCAGCCGTGACCTGAACCCCAGGAGACCAAAGACAAAACCTGAGGAAGGGCCTCTAACAACCCCATCTGAAGCTTGAGCGGGCAACATCACGACATTCGTCCTTATGCTTCATTGAGGCCCCCATAGTATTGGTACCTGTGGAAGGCTGAAATCAAAGGCGACTCCACAAACCCTGAACAGCAAAACTGAAACCCCGAACCCTACCCCAAGCCCTCAACCCCTTATTCCTAAACCGAAAGGCCCTACACCTTGAAGCCTTGCGGGCCGCCCAATCCCAAACCCCAACTGTCCGCGTTCGCGGTGTCGAAGCTGATGTTTGAGAAGCCTGCTTGGAGGTTCATGGGTGGTTATAAGGGTTCCTTTAAGGGTCCCTTTAAAGGGATCTATTGGGATTCTATAAGGGTATAGGGTTTAGGGCCTACTTGGAGGTTCATGGGTGGTTATAAGTGGAGTTATAAGTCCCCTAGTATGGGTGATAATTTTGATTACCCTACTTATCACCCGACTTGCAACTGCCCCATGAACCTCCAAGTGCCACCGTTGGGGCTTGGGGTTGAGGTTTGGGGTTTGCGGTGTCTGGTTCAGGGTTCAGGGTCTAGGGTTTAGGGTTTAGGGTTTAGGGTTTAGGGTTTAGGGTTTAGGGTAGATGAGTTTAGGATGGGCAGGATTCAGGAGTTTACCGTTTCGGCTGTCCTAACCCACAATCCAAAACTAAGGCATTGAACCTGTCTTTGTTGTCGGCTTTGTAATGTCGGCGTGGTAATGAAGCTTCTAGGGTTTGGGGTTTGAGTCTTGCCGAGCACTTCTAGGCTTTCATAAGGCTTTTAAAGCGTCCTTTAAAACCCTTATCAGACCGTTCTAGGAAGTATATAGGGACCCTTACAGGGTCCTTCCCTGGAATCTTTGGTATAGGAACAACTTGGAGAAGAAACCTTAACCGGAACCCTTAAAAGGGGTAACGACGCCTGGTATTTGACCGGCGTTTGGCGCCGCTACGAAACTAGGCATGCTGAAAAACCCAGGGAAACGCATATTCCTGATTGAGAAGTGCTGCATATGAAGAGCCGAAAGTGTGTAGCAGTGTCCTTTTACAAGAGATAATGATGCTATTGCTACAGTAAAACGCACCTTTTGGCTCCCGGCGTTTGCGACACTTATAATTGAGTATAGTGCAGGGAGAGTATATTTGGTAGCATTACCCTAAATTCCCTAAATCCTAAACCGAAAACATGCCCAAGGAAGGGAAGTATCTTTTGCAACGGAGACTAGCGGGCGAGTCAAATTATCACGGCCCCTTTAAACGGATGGACGAACAGCCCCATGCAAGTAGCATCCAACCCCATGCCCCCATGCAAGCGGCATCCAGCAGCATCATCCGGCACCACCATCCCCATGCAAACATCATGCAGCACCATGCAGCAGCATGCATCCATGACAACACCAACATGGGACTAGCAAGGTATCTCCTCGAACAATGCTGAAACAAAGAACGTTTAAGAAAGCTAAAGAAATGACGTTAAACAAAGAACTTTATTCCCCCCCCCCCCCCCCCCGCACCTACCACCCCTCACCGCCCATGCGCATCATCATCCATATCCATCATCACTCCGAAGCAGGACGCACCGGTCACACACCGGGCTTCTTCACCTTAAAAGAGGACCGCGGATTGGAACCCTTGAAAAGGAACCCCTTTCGGAGGGGTTTCGCGCTGGAAGGTTTCGGTTTTTGACATTCGGACTGTACTTAGAGGTTCATGGGTAGTTATAAGTGGGGGTATGATTAAGGCAACCATAACCAGAACCCATATCAAGGAACTTATAACCCACTTATAAATACCCAATGAACCTTCAAGTAGGTTTACGGCTTAAGGCTCTCAATGTTTCGGGGCTTCGGGATCCGAAATTCGGTGGGTTTTGAGGCTGAAAGGCTTCGGAAAAAGAGCTGGGCTAACAAATATAGGGGCCTTCATAATTAGAATGGTGTTTGGGGGCATATTATACTATGCTTACTATAAGGAACCCCCCAAAATAGTGTAGGTAATTATTGGGGCCCCTGTAGTAGGCAAGCAGCTGGCATCAGATACATCGATGTCACAGACCACGCCGGCATCGGAAGTGTAACCTCATCACGACTCAGGGGCACGAGCCTTCCGCCATCGCGTCTAGGGTTTATGGTTTTGGTGCTCACGCAGGCTTGAAAGCTTGTACTATAGTGCTCCAGAAGGGGCCCAGGGTTCTGTGAGGGCTTTAGGGTTTGTTGGGGTGCGAGGTTCACTGATCCTCCACATAAAGAAAAACCCGAACCTCTCGGTAAAAGAGCCATCACTGAGTGCCACTGAGTGGCAAGCCACATCCGGGGCCGGTGGTCTGTGTGTCAGAGGAAGGCTGGCCACAGTCAAGCTGCAGAGCCTTATCATGAATACGGCACTGCTGTTGCTGCTGTTGCTGCTGCTGGTGCTGCTGCTGCTGCTGCTGCTTCCACTGCTACTACTGCCACCACTGCCACCACCGCCACCACCGCTACCACTGCCACCACCGCTACCACTGCTACTCCACTGCTACTCCACTGCTACTGCTACTGCTGCTGCTCCTGCTCCTGCTCCTGCTACTGAAACTGCTGCTGCTGCCGCTCCTACGAATAATAATCATAACAATCTACTAGACGACGTGGACGCTGCGCAAGCTGCCGACGTTATCATTCAAGGCTCCTACCTTCTCTATGTGGTAACTGTTCGGGATTGGGTCGTACTTAAAGGAGCATGGGACTTAGTAAGCTAGGTTATAAGTAGGGTAACTATACTTATAACCCCAATTAGGGTACTTATAACCTTACTTACTAAGTCCCATGAACCTCCAAGTAGGTGTGAGGAGGTTCGGGCAGGGGGCTCCGTTCTCGTGGCCTCGAATCACCAGACCCGATCTCTACCAACACCACATCCCAGACCGACAGCAAAGTTTTGTTTTTTACGTGCAATGGACCTTTTCTGCAAAGCCTCAGCCGAAATTTCGGCATACACTGAAGCAGATCAGTTGAAAGCAAGGTCTAGGGTTTAGGGTTTACCCTACCCAAAACCCCAAAGCCTGATGTTAACTAGCACCATGCAGCTCCATGCAGTTCACCATGAACGGCCCAGCACGGTGCGGGTCCAGATCGATGAAGTCCATGTAGCCTTTGCGGGGTGATGTCATATAGGGTTTGGGGGGTATAGCGCTTTGGGCATATAGTTTCCTCACTGGCTACGCCGACCCAATTATTAAGGCCTTGTGGGCTGCATCTCCGAAACCCTGGGACACGAAAACTGAAGGTAAGCCCGAATCCGAAACCCCTTGACACATGCTAAAGAAAGCCAGCTCAAAGCAGCCCTTCAACACCCTAGAACCTGAGGCCAACGAAATCCAACAAAGCCTTCTTACCCTCCCCCCCGCCAAAACACACTACCCTAAACGCTAACCCTTAACCGCAGTATGTCCTCAAATTTGAACCCTAAACTGCAAACCCTACAGCCTGAAAGTCTAAATTCCCCGCAGAACCCCGGCAAATCTTGACATCACGGAGAGCCCCTCGAAAGACCTGTCTATTAATTCTCAACGCCAAACAAGGCCTATTGTAAAAACTCGAAAACACTCTTGAAAAACATCGAGCTCTTAAATCAAAAACCCAGAACACTGCTTGACAACGCCGAATATCCCCACAGTCACAGGCACTCGCCAGAGAATCTAAGGTCGTGTGGAGTGCTCCCTGGAGTTCACCGAAGCCTCGCCCGCACGAAGCGTTTTAAGAGGACTCTTTCCAGTTTCATAAAGGGTTTAGGGTTTACTTGGAGGATCATGGGACTAAGTAAGTAAGGTTGTAAGTACCTATTTGGGGTTATAAGTATAATAGTTACCCTAATTATAACCTTAGTTACTAAGTCACATGATCGTTTAAGTAGGGTTAAAGGGTTACTGTTTACTATAAGGGTACTACACGGGATCCTTTAAGGGGCTCTATAAGGGTTTAGAGTTTCCGAAACTTAGGGGTACCTTGTTTTGGGGTCCTTGTAATGAGGATCCCAGTATTTGGGGCACTATATTAGGGTCCCCTATTTTCGGAAACTCCCACAAAGGTTGTCGGGTTTAGAACTGGGGCAGAGGGGCTTAGAGTTTAGGGGTTGCATAAGAGTGTTATGAGTTCTTCTAGGATCCGCGGACTAGGTAAACCGGGCTCATCGGGGATACAAGTGCTAAGGGCAGTACTTTCCCGCACGGGTCCTGAGGAGAAGACCGTTTTATATGAGTTTGTACAAGAATACTATAAGTGTTGAATGGCTCAGTTGGGATCGAACGGGTTGCTGAGGAAGTTTGACGCAGTTTGCATGGGTTCTACAAGGGTTTACGATTCACTGTTAGGGTTTAGGATTAAGGGTTTAGGGTTTAAGCTAACTTGAAGCATCGTGAAACTTGCTAAGGAGGGTGATAGCTGACATCGGGTTCACAAGTCGTTGTAAGCATACTCGCTCGGATTTTCGAGCGGTTCACACGGTTTTTTGTTTTTAAGGTTTCTGTGGTTTACAAAATAGGCAGTGCTTTTCTCATTTCTCAAAAAACATGAGTTGCATGATTTTTACGTAATGCATGAGGGTTGAGGGTTTAGGGCCTTGGTAATTAGAGCATGGCTCGTATCGGGCCGCTTAGGGTTCTTACAGCGTTTTATGGGTTGTCATAGGGCCTAAATTTAGGTGCCTCAACCAGAGTAGGGCTTCAGATGAACTGATCCGGCTTAATTTGTTGTTTACAGTGGTTAACTTGAGACGGTGCAGCCCTCCTGCTCTAGTCGTCTCCTTAAGGGTTTAGGGCGGTAGGGAACATGAGGTATTAAGAGTGGGTTTAGGGCGTTTCAGGTTTTGAATGTTGTTTTGCCTATACTGAACTTAGACCCCTAGCAAAAACTATAATTGTAGCTGTTTCTTAGGGAATATAATACCCAAACATCAAAAACTAGGTTGGCCCTTTAAAGCCTCTGTAAAATATTCGTAAATAGGGTCCTATTAAGCCCAATAAGGGAAAATATAAAATATCCCAAAGGCCTACCTAGAAAAATATTTCTAAGTACCCCTACTTGGAGGATCATGGGACTTAGTAAGTAAGGTTATAAGTACCCTAAATGGGGTTAGAAGTATAGTTACCCTAATTATATAACCCTAGTTACTAAGTCCTATGATCCTTTAAGTAAGTTGCATTTCAGGCTTTTGGCCGGCTCCATGGGCCTTGTCAGGCGAGCTAGGATACCCAGTAACCTAGGACTACAAAAAGGGAATAAGGGTACTACTGGGCATCCTAGTGAGTGTTTGGCAGTGTTGAAGACTTTGACGGTTTAGAACTCCGATGTGTAGGGTTTAAAGGGAACTCCAGAAAGTTGGAATATGGTTTCAGGGTAGGATACCTTATAATTTACCATAAAGGGCTTAGGATAATCATATTCCAACTTTCTGGCTTTTACTTTAGGGTTTAGGGTGTTTAGCCTCTCGCCCCTTTCTTGCACGCTTTCGAGTCTAGCGTCCGGAGCCTTTCCCCTTGGATGGTTGGAGGGGGCTCAGGTTTAGGGTTTCGAGTTTAAGCTTCTTTCCTGTCTAAGGGGATGTTGTTGGAGGCTTTCAGGCGTCTTTTGATGAGGGCCTTAAGGTGTAGAGTATGCTGCTTAATTTCGATGGCCTTCAGAAAAAGGTGTTTGCTGTTCATGGTTTTGGGGTGCAACATGTGTTGGCTTGAAGAGACAAGCTTTCGAGGATTAAGATACAGGGCCTCGGGCTTCAAACTTATATAATGCTCCTACCGACCTGTTCTGACAGTTTGGACTACGATACCAGATTCTTCATAAGCATCCATTATCATTTTCATTCCTACGATCACTCTCATCGCTATCATGGGTTCCCTAAACCCTCGAAACCCTAAACCCTCAACTCTAAACCCTGAACCCCAAACCCTAGATCCTAAACTCTAAACCCTGAGCCCGAAACCCTGAACTCGAAACCGTAGGCCCAAACCCGGAAATCTAAAGCCCAACCTCTAGAGCTTAGACCTGACCCGGAAACCTAAAGCCCAAATGCCACGAGGCTGAGGACACGCGCTTTGCCCGACGGTCCACGTTGGAAGACATTCCGACCAGCAGAGAGCCTCAGAGGTTTAGGGTTTCGGGTTTAGGGGTTTAGGGTTTAAGGGTTTAGGGGTTTAGGTTTTATGGGTTCAGAGGTTCAGGGGTTTAGGGTTTAAGGGTTCAGGGGTTCAGGGGTTTAGGGTTTCGGGTTCAGGGGTTTTGGGGGCTTAAGGGTTTAGGGGTTTAGGGCTTAAGGGTTCTTGGGTTTGGGGGTTTAGGGGTTTAGGGGTTTAAGGGTTTAGGGGGTTAGGGTTTACTGCTTGGCTTGGATTTGGCGAGACTTCCAGAGCCCGCCGCATGAGGACCAAGGGGGGTTCTTGGCCGCATGAGGCCAGCATCCGATGGTTGATGCCCCGTATAAGACATCATCTGCGTCGCTTCGCATGGAGCGGCTTGCCATCCATTGGGCCGTTACAGCGAAGCAAAGGCCTTCATGGTCTGCCCTGGCCTTGGCAAGGACTTCTTCGTGTCGGCAAACGCTCGACGAGTCGCAACAACTTTCTCTGGTTTCAAGACCCTGTGCAAGAAGTTTGGCCAATCGCACAAACGGCAAACTTTTTTCTTCTTGGGCACAGGCGCCACGGCGGAGTAGCGTACCAGCTGTGCTTCTGTCGTGTTTTGAAAACCTTCCGGGTGTTTCGATGACTGTTGCAGTGCTGTCCCTGTAATCAAGAGCTGAACCATGCTTAGTGCAGTTAACTTGAAATTGACGGAGTCCTTGAACATGGCGCAGCCCCCCTCCATTTGCAAGCACAACCTCTTTATGACGGGTTTGAGAGGGTCCATATGGGTTCCGTCTTTGCTAGCAGGATGATACTCGAAGCGACCTTGCTCAGCTTAGAACAATGGCAATGTAATATGATATAATCTCACATCATATCGTGTGATATATTGCAACATAATATTGTATATTATGATATAATATAGCATAAGATGATTTAACATATGATGTAATATGATACAATATAAGAAAATAATCTAAGTGAATACGAATTTTGCAACTTTATGTAGCAATGAACATGTAAAATAGTATCGTATAGGATAGGATAGGCGGGTATAGGAGTAGTAGGAATTGTAGTAGCAGGATACCGGGGGGCCAGAGGACCAGGGGACCGGAAGTCCATGAGCCCCTTTCCCTTGATTAAACTTTGACTTTGTTGTTGATCCTTTCTTATCTTTAGCTGATCCCTTTTTATGTGTTTGTTGATCCTTCTTTTTGATCCCTACCCCCTAAGAATGTGAATAAGGTTTTTGTGGTGAATAAGGTTTTTGTGGCATACTGTACTCTGATTGTAACAGGGAACCCGACGAACTGCATTATTGTTATAACTCATTATTCCGACCCCCTTGTTAGACCACAGATTCATAAACCCCTTCTTTCCGGTGCCTTCATATCAGGATCCCCACCATGATCCTTATTACGGGAGGCAGCGGTCGTACCAAAACCCCCAAGTGCTCTCCAGGCGTCAACTCACACGTCTCGTCCACGATGTCTTCGTGACACAACGGTGTCGGGTCCTTGGCCACCTTCCAAGCTGAAGTGTCCAGGGCCGGCTTAGGGTGGGGTGAGAGTTTAGTGTTCGGGTTTAGGGTAGGTTAGGGCTTCGGGTTCAGGCTCAAGTGTTGGGGTTTGGGGTTCAGGGCTTGTGTTTGTGAGGTTGGAGATGTAGGGCAGCACCCCGGAACCTAAGACTCTGAAGCCCGGCATGAAGCAATATGAAACCCCCGAATACATCGCAACACCCATTATGAAAACCCCCCATGAAACCCGCTGTGGAAGACCCTGGTTGGCCCGAAATAGCTCTAAACCACGGAACCTCTCAGCCCTAAACCCGTGAACCCTGAGCCTCCACACCTAACAACCTACTTCCCTACAGGAACGCAACCCTCAAACCCCGAACAAAGAGTTAGGGTCTAGGGGTAAGGGTTTAGGGTTTGTGCTTAAGTTTGCTGGTTTCTGTATATAGGTCATCAGCGTTCTGGTTTACATGAGCGTCTGGCACGTTTCTTATAAGCTCTTGCAGGCTTATGCTGTTCCTGGCTTCCCCCTCGATCCCACCGCTACGTCCAGGAACTGGACACACAGCGAGCTACCAAGCTCTGACAGGTTTTCAAGCAGGTTTAGCTGCTAATATAGTGGCCTGGATAAATAGAATAGAGTTTTGGGGCATATTATACTATACTTCTAATCAGGAACCCCCACAATAGTATTGGTAATTATTTTAGGTCCATCTGTTACGGTTTTGGGCTTGGGTTTGGTTCGCGTATAATTGCAAGGATTGCTTTCGACAACTGCTTCCCGGAGCATCTAAGGGACTGGATTTTGAGGGAGTCTAGGGCTGCTCTCAGATAAGCCAACCCCAAGCCCTGCACCATCAGCCTACTTGGAGGCGCATTGGGTAGTTCAAAGTGGGGCTCTACGTAGGGTGACCATAATTATAATCCATATTGAGGGACTTATAACCGCACTTACTTGGAGGATCACGGGACTTAGTAAGTAAGGTTATAGGTGCCTGAATTGGGGTGAGAAGTATAGCTACCCTAATTATAACCTTAGTTACTAAGTCCCATGATCCTTGAAGTATAACTACTTAGACCCAGAGAGCCCAATACCCCTTAATTCAGCAATATACCTTAAATTACACGGGGCTTCATATTATGATTTAAACTATATTCCTTAATTCAGGGTGTAGTGGGCTCTCTGGGAAGCCTAAACCCTAAACCCTAAACCCTAAATCCTCAACCCTAAACCCTAAACCCTAGACCCTAAAGCTTAAACCCTAACCCTAAACCCTAAACCCTTCAAAGCCACCTGCGACAGGTCCAGGCGAGCCGAATCCACTGCTGCGAGGTAGGAGCCGCCCAGCAGCCACAGGCAGCGCATGGCTTAGGGTTTAGGGTTTGGGGTTTGGGGTTTAGGGTTTAGTGTTTAGGGTTTACGGTTTGGGGTTTAGGGTTTAGGGTTTGGGGTTTAGGGTTTGGGGTTTAGGGTTTAGGGCTTAGAGCCATTGATGTCGACCCTTTTGGGTGTATACGGGTTATTTTCCGAAAACCTTAGGGTTCGTTTAAAGGGTTACTATAAGGGTACGACTTAAAAGGCTCTAAAAGGGTTTAGAGTTTCCGAAATTTAGGGTACCTTATTTTGGGGCCCTTATATTAAGGATCCTACTATTTAGGGTACTATATTAGGGTCCCCTGTTTTCGGAAACTCCCAATAAGGACTTTAGACGTGGCAACAAAGGGGCTTCGTAAGGGCTTTGTTCAAAGGGAGTTGTAGGGTGCCTAGAAGCGTTATCGTCACGCTTTTGGGAACCCTAGGGCCTAGGGTTTAGCTGGACCCTAAGAAACCTACCTTTGTAGGGACTTATACAAAGAAATCTTATTACGGGGCCCTAAAAAGGTAGGTTCCTTAAAGCCTAGGGTTTAGGGACAACGCCATCCGAACCGAATAACGCTGAGGCTGAACCCTGAACTGGCTTTAGGGTTTCGGGCTGTAGAAGTTCAAGGTTCCATACTTGGAGGGTCGGGGGACGTAGTAAGTAGGTAGTAAGTAGACTTATAAGTACCTTAAAAGGGACCCTAATTTGGGTTATGGTACTTATAAGTCCCTAAAATAACCAGTTACTAAGTCCCTCGACCCTCCAAGTAGGGCTCCATGTGTTCCCGAAAACCGGGTCCGCCCAGCAAAATCGTGTACAGGGTTTGGCAAACCTCGAGCCAGCTGCGGTGTCAAGCTGCTGCTTGTGAGGCTTGCTCTATCTGAGCCTTTCTGGTGTCAGACAGGGTTGTGAGGGTTTCACTGGCAGTGGCCGATGTTACTGTTAGGAGGCCTCCACATTTTGCAGCGCCACTCAGGTTCCGAAATGGGCAAATCCCTGCACCCGGAAACCAAGATCCCTTGTCTACTGGAACCAACAGTACCACGAGAGCCCATGCGGATCATGGGACTTAATCAGCAAGCTTATCAGTACCCTAATAAGGGTTCTAAGCATAGTTACCCTAATTATAACCCTAGTTACTAAGTCCCGTGATCCTCTAAGCAAGGGGGGTCGAGGTAGGAGGTCCGAGAGCGCGTGCATCTTGAGCCGTGCAGGAATCTCGTGATCCCTCCACGAAGCAAACTCGGACTTACTCGTCATGGCTTTCTTCTAAAGAAGAAAAGGGCTCGAGTTCGCCGATCCTGCCCCCGTGCCCCTGCAGTGGGTTGAGATTCGCTGTTTCTTGGAGGTCCGGGACTTCAGACACGCGAGGGGCTCACGGCTCAGGGTGTAGAGCAACGACCCGCAACCTGAACCGAAAACTCGAAAGCGGCGACCAAGCATCGTCTGAGTGCGTTCGAAATCTCAGAGTCCTCGGCTACAGGAAAGGGTCACATGCTTGCGGTTCACGGCTCCGAAACAAGGGTGCAGAGTTTGAGGTTTTGTGTCGGTGTATGGTCTAGGGCTGAAGGTTTAGGAGGCAAGCTCTTATGGACGGGCGACGTACGATTTCCGGAACGGCCCCGGCGTCCAATTCTGGCACGACTCCAAAGGGTATCCGGAAGTTCTTTTCCGTTACGTGAATAGCGAGCCGTTGCGTGAATAGCGAGACGCGAAGATTACTAATGAAAGTGTCGTCGATGGTTCCAGCAAGGCAACCTTAAACCCTCAACAGGAAGTCATGATAGTGACAGCAAGCATCTCTGAAACCGAAAGCATCCCAATGCTCTAAAGGCTACCAAAAATTGAAACCGACGGAGGCTTAAATCTCTGCGCCAAAACGCAGGTGATAGCCCAAGATGCGCTGAACTGTCCGGGTGAGGGGATGGAGACGAAGCAGGCGCCTTGCAGAAAGGCTTGTCATTACAGCCACAACAGCCCCACTAGCTAAATCAGCATGTACTTGTCTGAACAAGAGGATAGATGGGGAACGTGTGTGTACAAATCAGGGTGGCGTTCATCACCACGGCCTCAACTATGATCTCGCCTTCGTCGTCGCTATCATCATCACCGGCACCATCGAAGCCATGACCCTCTTTATCACTATCACCATAATCATGTCATGCTCAGCTTCAGTTTCACCACCATCACAGAAGAAAAGTCTTTCGCTAGGGGCCTGAATCACTTCAGTAGGGCTTCTGGCTCCTCATAGCTCCTTATCCAAGGCCGTCTGAGTCCCTCCACCACCGCTTCGCTAAGTAATCCCAGAAGATCAAACTTCTCCAAAAAAGACCAAAATGTGAGAACCCAATATGAAAATTATGGGTTTCAGGATGTGTGCGGCAGGACTTAGAAACCGCAAACCTTCGAGTTTGGTGAAAACTCTCCAGTTAAACCTGAAAACGTTCATCCCCAAACTCAGAGCCCGTACAACTCAAAGCCCCAACCCTGCAAGGGCCAAGAACCAAGAAGGTCCAAATTTTTAAAGCCCGACGATCCCCTTCACTCAAGCCTACTTAAAGGATCATGGGAGTTCGTAACTAGGGTTATCATTAGGGCAACTATACTTAGAACCCCAATTACGGTACTTATAACCTTACTTACTAAGTCCCATGATCCTCCAAGTAGGACATGAAGCCCTGCAAGAATCCTTCGCACAGTCCGACAGCCTGAAACGTCTCTCATACATAGGTCCGAAGTACAACTTTTCAGGGCTCCTTTTAGGATCGTAGCATGGTCCTGCCCTGCTAATTCCGACAAAACGCTACAAAACACTTCAGAACCCTGTAGCAGCCCTGTAACACCCAACAACCCTATTGAAAATCCTAATCTAACCACTCATGCCTTCTAAACCCTCAACCCCAAGCCCCAAGCCCTACCAAACCCTGAACCCTGAACCCTCAGCTCTTCTAACCCCTAAGCCTTTGCAAGAACCTCAAAACCCAATGTAGGAACCTGATTAAGAAATCTTGGGCCTTTATTAGGGTTCATTGTATGAATCCTAGTATTTTGGGGTTATAGGCCCAGGGCTTCTTCATCAGGTTCCTACATTATTATAGTACCCTTATAGATCCCTTGTAGTACCCTTATAGCCCTTTAAAGGGACCCTAAAGAAAGGCCCAGGGCTTCTTAATCAGGTTCCTACACTAAGCCCTTCTGAGCCCCTAAACCCTAAATCCTAAACCCTAAACCCTAAACCCTAAACCCCTCTTGAATCCAAGCAGCCGTGTTCGCTTGCGAGTGAAAGCTGGAAGATGCAACCCGGCCTAGAGCTGCAAAACTGGCACGCCCAGAGCCTCCAAAACCCCCTTAATTAAGGAATTTGCCTTAAATCATATTAGGGATCCTATTATACTTTAAGGTATATTCCCCAATTAAGGGGTTTTGGAGGCTCTGGGCGGAATCTTGGCTTGAGGGTTTGTGGTTTAGGATTTCGGGTTCGGGGGGGCTTTTAGGGTTTGGGGTTTGAGAGCATCAAAGCCCTAATAGAAGCCTTACTTACTACTTGGGTTGGAGGCCTGCATAAGCTAGATGGGCCTCAAGTCATCCTTTTTCGGTTCTTCGGGCTCATTCTCGGGGTTTTGGGTCTCCTGAAGGGCCACACTTGTGCAAAATAGAGTAAGAAGCCCTGACCCTGAACTCACATAAACCCCTCACACCTGTCCAAAACCCATCCTGGAAAACAGACTGAACCCTACAAAGCGCGTGTGGAAGCAACAAAGAGAGCCGTAATCCGTGGTTGTACAATCCTCAAGCCCCACAGTACTTGGAGGTTCATGGGTAGTTATAAGTGGGGTTATAAGTACGGTAACCATAATTAGAACCGATATTAGGGGACTTATAACCCCACTTATATATACCCATGAACCTTCAAGTAAGACTCCTCTCTCCTCTTGGGCTCCGGCTGAGATAGAGCTTCCTCGCTGTCAGGGCTTGGGGTTCTGGGCTTAGGGTTCTACTTAACATGGTCAGTAGTAATAATGTTGAACATTATACTGACCTTAAACTCACTCCATATCATAACTCAATTACAATAGTAGCAACAATAATAATAACAGTAACAATAACAATAACAATAATAACAACCACAACAACAACAACGACGACAACGACAACGATGCCAATACCAATACCCGTACCAATACCAATGCTGATAATGACAATAACATAAACAATAACAATACCACTACCGACACTGACGATGACTACAACAATGACAGTAACAATGTCGGCAACACTAACGATAACAACAAGAATAACAACCATAACACCCTAAGCCCTAAACTCTAAACCCTAATATCAGTGCTGCTGGCGGGGCGAGGGCTCAGGGTTTAGGGCTTTCGGTTTGGAGCTTAGAAATCTTAGGAGCTCGGCACAATGCAGGGTAGAGCTGGGATACAGGGGCGCAGGGTTGCGGGATTCGGGATTTAGGGGTTTAGGGCTTAGGCTTTAGGTTAGGGTTCAGGGGTTTAGGCTTGAGGGCTTAGGGTTTAGAGGGGTGAGTACAACCTTCGTGGACACTGCCTGGATCGAGGCCAGAAGCGCCCAGACTTCAAGTTGAAGGAGATTGGGGCTACAAGAGTTTCGAGCTTTGTCGGCTCGGGAGTACCCCGCCATGACTAAATCAAAAAAGCAGCGGCGCTCAATCTCGAAACCTAAATCCCGAAACCCTTCAGCCACAAAGAGTTTGAGTTTCGACAGTGTCTGTCTGGGACAGCTGAATCGATGACGACGGTGACGGCAATGTAGTATGGCTTAAAGTCTAAGGTCTCCGGTCAGGCCGGTAGCAAGAGCGGTGTAGATACTAAGGTCCGCAACAGCAAGACTGGGAACATTAATGGTATCAGCCAGTCAACGACATTGAGGAAGGCAGTTAGCTGTGTGCGGTTGGAGCAAGGGAAAAGGGCAACATCGTCAAATGAACTAGTCGCAAGAATAACAGCAGGCGTTGCGGCGGACAGCTTGT